ACGACGTCTCTCGTCTGCAGCGATACCGTTAAAATAATATTAAACTACATTATATCCGGCAAAAAAATATATATCTAATATACTATATAGTATAATATAATAATATTGGCGGCGGCGTCGAAATGTCTGACGAGTACGACGGCGTCGTGTATGCAATCTGCACCGATAACCACTATCTACGCGACTATCACAGGTCTGCAGAACAGCCGGGGCAGACCGTTGGAGTGGTCACCGGAAACGCCGCGCCGCCCGCCGCAGCCGGACCGGAAGTGCATCAGGCCTATCGATCCATGGCGCCGCCGGCCCTTCGACAGCCGCAGCTACAGCAGCAGTCCAACGGCGGCGGTAATGCAGGTCTCGTCTCTGTGTCGTCTCGGAAGAACAGGTAGGTACCCACTTGCGTGCAGGGTGGTCGATTTATATGGAAACACCCACCTATATGGGTGCAGTCTTATTTTGCGTCAATATACTATACGCCCATCACTAGGACCCGGATTTAAATAATGCACTTAAAACCATACAGATTTGCTCTGAAAAATAGCCGAAGTTGTCCTTTAAAAATACATTTTACCAACAAAACGACACATATAAATAATTTCATCTGTTCGATTTGGTACATTTATAATTTGAAATTCTCAAACAAGATAAAATTATTATTTATTATTTTAATGGAAAAAAAACAACTGATAGTCGGAAAAATTAAGTTAGAATTTGAATCGATCCACAGGCTACTGCTTAAGTAGTAGGAGGTAAAAGTACAAAACAGAAATTTGAAAATATCGTATTTAAGTCTACTTTAAATATCTCGGGCTAACTTTACTCATGATTGCCGTCTCACCCGGGCTCACCACATCAAAGCCAAAACATCACAATTAAAGCTCCCTGTTACGAATTCTCAAAACCCCAATCGTCAACAACAAACAGCACTCAAAACTAAATATTAAATAACTTCTCTACAAATCTCTCGTCCTAGAGCCAATTTTAACACTCAGCCTACAGTTATGGGGCGATGGAAAAATTTCTTATCTGAATAAAATCCAACGGTTCCAAAATAAAATAAAATAAAACTTAAACAATTCTGCGTCATAAGTATTAAATCACTCCCTGCTGCATATGGAGACCTACACATGAAAACAATAAAATTCAGGAAGAGGTAAAAAATTATTATGAACGTTTCCACCTATACGCCTTAACTCTCGTCCAAACCGACTTGTAAAAAATCTATCTTCATTAACCGTTGCTGGTAACCCTCATCGTCGCCTTAAGCGAAAACGGTACAGAAGAGACCTGATACTAAATCACTAAAAAAAAAAAGTTTAATATTGTTAAAACAAAAGGCGTAAGTGTCATCAGTGGGCGGCTCCTTCATTCAAATTTTTCATTCTCCCTCGGTCATACTCTCTTATATTGTGTCGTTTGCGTATAGATTGGGTATTGAGAGAAAAAAAAGTCTACTCGAAAAATTCTAAAATTCAGAATTTGAATAAAATATGTACCTACATAATATGATATGTTTTAAAAGAAAAAATGGCGGTGAGCGTGCTTAAAAAATCACCATCCTGTACGTGCGATAACAGTATAATATGATATCATTTAAACGGTTCTTATATCTCGGTCGCACACAACTGTTGCAGCAATGATGAGATAATTGCAATAATCGAATCTATAATTGAAAAGCTTATTATGTGCCTAGGCTATACGCAAGAAAATTGTAAAACTTTACGAGTCGTATAACAAACATAAATGTAATTCGTCGTTGATGAATAAAAAATAATCTTCGACGTACAGTAGTGAAAATTACATATTATTATTTTTTTTTTTTTTTATTCGATAACGAATTTATTTTATAATGATCGTAATAATTATTACGGTACGCAAGTCAACGGCAAATATAAATACCAAACGATTATTATGAGCTGTTGTTTTTCTAACTCGCTAATGTCGAAACAATTATTCGTAAATAGCTTTCCGACGACTACTAAAATTAATATAATTATTAATTGTTAATTATATTATTATTTGAAATAAGTATGTGCATACATTTTGGGAGCATTATTCATTGTATTGCCTACATTTAGACGATACAATATTTTATGATAATCTCGTCAATTTACAGGCTGGATTTTTTTTATTTGATTTTTATTTTCTCGATTTTTTATCAGTACCTATGATCAATGAATTAAAAATTTCCTAATACATGATTCATAGATATATTTCGCTCAATATAAAACTAATAGGTATGAGAGATTAAAATATTTGAACTATTTCCACGATTATGAGGTTATTTGGTATAAAATAAAATACTAATTAAACGCACGACAACAATAAAATTGTTGATATAATATGATGAGTAAATAATTTTAAAAGTATACTCGTGTCAGCAAATTCTCAAAAATCATATTTTTAAAGAAATTCACACGTACCAAATAAATTTAACCAAAAAAATATTGAATTTTAAAAAAAATTCTAAAAAATAAACTACTTGACTAAGATAAAACTCTTATTATCAAAATTGTTCTTATAATCAGATTCACAAACAGGCTACTTTGAATTTATCCAAAATTGTTCTTTATTGAATTAAATTTTTTAATTTTAAACATAAAAAAAAATCATTATACATGTAGCGCTGGTCACTTGATGAAAAAATTGAAAAATATTGATTAGAACAATAGTTATTCCAAAAGTCAGTTCTTATCTGTTACACCTGTTTGTATGGTTATGTTCACAACGATCGATTTGGGCGACGTTTAACAATGTTTGCCGGAAACGACGTCTATATATAGTCTAATCGCTGAAAATAATGAAACAAGTAACAACTCGTCAAATAAGATTGATAAGACTTCGAGACTGTTGATAAGAGACGAGATTCTATATTTCTATGTGGCGACCGGATTATACCACTGGACATGTTTACCGGGAATCAGTGGCGGATCCAGGGGAGGGACACGTGCCCCCTGTAAATTTTCTGTCAACATTTTATTTTTTTTATAGGAGTCTACCGTTGAGAATTACATTACCTATGTTAAAATTTTTTTTTTTTTAGTAACTACGAGTACATGATAAATTAAAAACGCATCAGTTGATAAGAATAATCTTAACTATTAATTATTACAATCATTATTCGCATTCAGACTGCAGATTAAACAGGGCGTACCTATAGAGCTTTAGTGTCCAATCCATATCTATTTATAAGTCGTAATGCGGATATGTATGCATTTGCATATTTATTTTGTCTGATCGTATAATAATATTATGCTAAGCGAGGACAACATTTGTTTCATTACGATTTAAAAAATGAAACTTTTTTTAGCGCATATTTTCGCATTTACGACATTTTTCTATTTCAAGTGCTAATTTTAATATCATATTTCATCTTTTGGTGCAAATTTCGGTAATTTTTTTTGACATTTTTGAAAAATATAGTATTATAATGTGAGAAAATTTTTTATGTTTTTATAGTTTCGATTAATACCAAAATAAATGAATGGAATAAACCAATAATCGGGGAAATAAAATATGTACACCAGAAAAAATAAGAAAATATTTTTAAATGATGTAAATTAATTAAATGTTTAAAAAATAAGTTTTTTTGCAAATTTTTTTACGCATATTTTTATTTTTCGTGCATATTTTAACATTTTGGTGCTTATATTTATGCATATTTAAGATTTTTTAGTGCATATTTGGTTGGTTTTCATTTTTTCAATACATATAAACCCGCACTCTATAGTTATAACCATATTAGCTATTAATTAAAATTGAAATTATAAATGTTTTATGTGCCTCCCTCCCATAAAAATATCAAAGACCCGCCCCAGTCAGGCATGCTCACCGCCTTTTCCCCCTTCAATAGTGTTATTATAGGTAACTAAATTTACAGATTAGTGTAATGAACACATTTGATAAATATTTATTCATATCGATATCATCATTTAATCTGAGATATAAATTTAAATTATTTTCTAGATTATATTGAAATAAGTTGGTCCTCAACAGTACGAATTTTTGACCAATCACTTTTTTCGAGTAATTTACACATTATATTGATTATAAATGCATTTTTAATGAAATTTTTAAGGAGTGTCAGCGCACTGGCACGGTTGTTTTTTGTTCAAACGATATTCCATACGTTATTTATGGTACTTAAAATTATAAAGTACAATACGATCGTTAAAAAAAAAAATTATCTATATAATTCGACATTCGAATGAGTAGTTTTTGAATTGTTAGACTTAAATGCATTGAAATTAATTGTTTTCGATACCATGGAAATTATCGTAATTAATAATGATAAATTGGCATTTTATATGATGTGTGAATTATAATATCTTCTCGAGCTTACAACGAATGCAATCTTAGGAGCTATAGAAAAATGACGTCTCCGACGAGACTAGATAACCTCAAAAATTTTAAGGAGAATAAAAAAATAAATTCGAATTTTATATTTTTGAGTTGTTCGTACCGTGTTAAACACCTTAAGCAGTTTTGTATAACATCACTCGGCTGCGTTTATATTTCATGTAACAACATAATTATTTAGGGTGACGATTATTTGTCGTAATTATTCTCGGTCTTCGAAAATGTCTGATCGGCAAAACGACGTTCCACATACAGTGCAGAGAAAATTGGTTGTCTTAATTTTGAAAAATGGTCGTTCGTGTCGCTCCGGGCAACCTCTCAGTGTTGKAATACAAAAACCCAAATGGCTTTTAAATGTGATTTTTGCGGATTGGCGCTGAGCAAAAACTTGAAAACCGAAAATCTGACCAACCGAATTACTTAAGTGGGGTGAACATGGCCGCTGAGGTTGGTTCATCGTTCACAGCACACGTAATATAACAGCAGCGTCGTATAGTTATTATCGGTTTTCGTCGATAAAGAAATAATTTAGAAATAATTGATACTCCGTCGATAATAACGTGCGGGAGATTATCGCCTGGTCATTATGTCAAACACGAATTGAGTTAATTTTCATAATAATTGATCGACACGATCGCATTACACCGTGTGGAAGAAAATCGATCGTTTCTGTTCTCCGGCGCGAGCGTTCAGTTGTGAAAAAAAATAATAACAGATTAGTCGCGTATGTCATAATATAATATTAGAATAACACTTATTTTCAATATTTCGACCGTCGTCAGTGGCGGCGGCGTTTGCGTTTTGTGTTGGCCGAGACGATTTTTTTCCCCATTCTCGATAAGACTTGATTGATCAGACGATGCATCTGTTCGACAGGAAACTACAAGACGTGTTGTTGAGCGGCAGACGAGTTCCGGAAAAATGGATAATCGGCTTCCTCGCCGTGGTCAGCTGTATCGGTTTGACGCTGACGGTCATAAAAATTGGAGGAGGCAAGTCGAAAACCGGAAATGCCCCGATCGGAACTCGTCGATCGGTGCACATAATATACTATAATATTAATAATAATTAGAGCGGTGAATTGGAATAGAAAAAAAAAACAATGGTTTCATTACGAACGAATAGCTCCCAAAATTTGGATTAGTTACGAATGAGTACAATTATTATTCTATTAATTTTATAGGTTGTTTTTGGACTATCATAGTATTAGGTCATTGCTTCATTTTTTTTTTTTTTTTAGCAATTTCCGTAAATTAAATCTTTCCATATACATTTTATGAATTATAGTTTGATATTATTTTATTTAAAAAAGATTATAATATAAGTGTTTCTCAAACTATGGGTCGCAAATCGGTGAGCCATAAATAAACGTATGAAAATAATTTTAATCATAAATTTATAAAATATACTTAAGTTATGTTGTATTTGATACCTTTACGTATAATAATGACTTTAATTTAAAAATAATTTTTATATTAAACTGAAATTCGTATTTATTAAATTGTATTATATAAAAAATTCAATGGCAACATTTTTTATACAAAAAAAAATTATTATTATTAATACTATATTATAATCAAGGTGTGTGTGGGTCACGTATCAATTAAGTCATAAATTTGTGGGTCACCATTAAAAAAAGGTCGGGAAACATTAGATTACATCACTGGATAGATTTTTAAATTTTTTAAATTTTTTAAATTATGACCCGTATTGGTTTGTTTGTGGGGAATTTTTTATGATGAAACTTGTGAGATTTTATAATGCACTTAAAGTGCATATATCGATATTTCAAGCGCATTCAACTCACCGCTCTACAKTTATGATAATAATAGTGTGCAGTTATTAAATAACCTAACCTAACCTATTAACATGTTTCGTTATTTTTGTGGGTTTAGGTATGGGTCTCATGGATACGATGTGTATGAGCGACGAGTGTCTATTTTCAGGTTTGTATGACTTATTTATTTTAAATAAAGTAAGATGCACATAATTTATTGATGTCTTGCTGAAAATTGCTTTTCGCGCCACGAACGACTTGACCAGTGCCAACTATTAGCGTGAATTTTTTTTTCTTTTTTGTTGGGGGGCTAGAATTTTAACTCGTGCATATTTTGTTTATGAAATGTGCGACATTGATATAATAACTGAAATAATAATAATAATAATATTTGGGAGGGTTAGACAAATATTCGGGTGGCTAAGCCCCCTCAGCCCCCATCTAATGACGGCACCACCAAGTCCTGGAATTTCATTCGGATTGAGAAATCGTATATATAGTTATTGTGGGTCCAGGAGTCAGGTGTGACATGTGATATAAAAAAAAAAAAATAATAATAATAATAATATAACATAATACGATATTTCATTTCGAAAAAACGTGCCCCGAAACGACAATAACGATATTGTGCCAAATAGTCATGTCCCCCCCCCCTTCGCTATAGTCCTAGCCCTCCCCCCACTCGTCATTTCGTTCTGTGCGGTGACAATATATAGTATTCCAGTAGTTCGTGTTTTTATTCATAAATATAAATACATGTTATACGGTTTTCGATATGATATTTTTTTGTTTGCAATTATTATTTGGACGGTCGTTGTCGATGAAAATACGCAGCCGATTCTATAATGAGGTCGATAGACGTGGACGTTGAACCTTGCGACAATTTTTACGAATTTGCGTGCGGAAAATGGCAGTACAGTCATCAGCGGGAAAACGGCAAACCCAACAATTGGTTTGCCGAGAGATCGCGAGTCATTTCGGTGGCAGTAACAAGTGAGTGTACCCACCTATTATTATTATTACGATAAAAATAATAATATATATA